CTGCGTAACGTTTTTTCGTATAATGCTTTTCATGTAGCGCTTTCGCGTAACGTTTTTTCGTGTAGCGCTTTCGGATAACGTTTACTTGCGTAACGTTTTTTTCGTATAACGCTTTTCGTGTAGCGCTTTCGCGTAACGTTTTAACGTTTTTTCGCGTAACTCTTTTCGTGTAGCGCTTTTGGATAACCTTTACTTGCTTAACGTTTTTTCGATTAACGCTTTTCGTGTAGCGCGTTCAAATAGTGTTTACTTGCGTAACGTTTTTTTCGTATAACGCTTAACGTGTAGCGCTTTCGCGTAACGTTTTTCGTGTAGCGCTTTCGGACACCGTTTACCTGCGTAACGTTTTTTCGTATAATGCTTTTCGTGTAGTGCTTTCGCGTAACGTTTTTTCGCGAGACGCTTTTCATGTAGAGCTTTCGGATAACGTTTACTTGCGTAACGGTTTTTTTCGTATAACGTTTTTAGTGTAGCGCTTTCGCGTAACGTTTTTAGTGTAGCGCTTTCGCGTAACGTTTTTTCGCGTAGCGCTTTTCGTGTAGCGCTTTCGTATAACGTTTACTTCCGTAACGTTTTTTTTTCTATAACTCTTTTCGTGTAGCGCTTTCGCGTAACGTTTTTTCGTGTAACGCTTTTCGTGTAGAGTTTTCTTGGCGCAATTAGTCAAGTATGTGACGGTTACGCATAGCTCTATGTACTTCATCGCTTCTGTTAGTTGAATTTCCGGTGTAATAGAACCGGCTTTGTTCATCTACTCTCAAGCAACCATTTTCAATTGTTACAAACACGCTGGTTTTGTGCGAAGAAATGTATAATGTATCATAACTTCAGAGTAGATGAGTTTAATGAAGAAGACAACGTACCGCTGAGCATGTGGGCGAGGGCTGTTGATAGGCATCAGTTTCCCATAACAATCGAGAACTTTGAACAGTACGCATGTGTCGATGATGCTGTCGCCACTTGTGAAGAACCGTCCGATGAAAACATAACGGAAAATATCATCGCCAACGATGCTAATAGCAAAGGTTGCGACGGTGATGATGACGAACCAGAGGAGATTTATCCAACCTTGAGTGGTCCGAAGCTCTGAAGGCTGTTGAAACGCTCAATGTGTTTGTTTAATGATGATCTTAGGAAAACAATGATGTCATGAATTCACAATTCTCACTACCGAACAAAAGTTAGTAATATAGCTAGTAGAGTTCCAAGCCATTCCTTATGGGAAAAACACGTGTAAATTTGAGCAGGTCGATTCTGTCGTTTTTTGGACCTCAGGCTCAGTTCACACGGAAGGGACAAAGATCAGCGCCTCGTTTCTGCCAGACGTCCATTCTGTGTGAATTGGACCTTAGAATTGCAGAGCTCAGAGCTTTTACTGTAATACCAATCGACCAATCAGAAGCTACCGCGCGTACAGCGGGAAATTCAAATCCAATAGATGAACAAACTTGGCCCTGGCGCAAAATCAAATGTATTTTCTTATGGAGCTAAACTTTTTGCAATTTTTAGATCAAACAGGAGTGGGGGAAACGTGTGACGGAATCGATGCAGGATTGAATGAGTCCTTAACCTCTACACCAACGTGGGATGTTGGAAGTAATTTTGAATTGTTGATATTTATAGCGGTTGTTTTGTCGGGACTGAAATTGACTTATTTTATATACTTGATCGCATTTTTTTGATTTCCAAATTGTAACGTTTTCATTGTAGAAGATAGGAAAATATATTTAGATTTGGGGAAGAATGGAGGAAGAAGAAGATTTCATATAAAGGTGTAAGTGTGCAAGAGTGAGAGCCACGTGTGACGTAATCGACGCAAAGAGAGATGGAAATGGTATCGAAGTTATACGTTGCTAGCGTAAGCAGGTGTTGTTCATTATAAATTAAATCGTTGTTTATGGAGCAATGTAGCGTTGCCGGTTTCAAAATCACGCATGAATGGTTAGGAATACGACTCGAAAAAATTGGAAGCGTGAACTTATATATTAATAATGATGAATGATGAATCAAATTTAAGAAAAAATATTACAATTTTACACTTCAACGTGCGGTCCCTCAATGTGGACAGGGTGTCTCAAAATACATCATTTCAGAAAAAAACATAGTATCAATGTATATACAGGGCGTTTCAAAAAACATCATTTTGGAAAAAAACATGTTGGTTTAACAAAAGGCTAGTGTTCCAACATGTCAGAAGGACACTAAGTCGTATCTTTGTTAACCTAGTTAGCATCATCAGGAGAAGGAGTTAGGGGGAGTTACATGTTGTGCAGTTAACATGGAGGTAATGTGGTAGCGAAGTATATTACTAAAGTTTGTCAAAAACAACCTCAAATAACAGACTTTCTACGTTAGTTACACAGTTTTTTCGTGCAATGTGTGTGTAATTTATGTCTTTGTATTACAGTACATTATGTAGGTACCTATATTTGTAGTTCGAATATTTAAGAACCATTAATATAAAGCATATGAATGTGATTCCTATGAAATGTTTTATTTCCCTAAATAGGAAAGTCAAACTTTTGCATTTATAATATGAAGGTATTCGTAAGTTAAGTATGTATGTACTTTAGAAATAATTTTGCCGTTTTGTGCGTCGTTTGGTTATAGTACACATAGTATATTCGGTCCCTTGAAGTTCGTTATATCCGGATTCTACTGTATTTTTTTTCTCGTGGGGATTACCCGTACACATAAACATTTTCCGAAATTTCTGTTTCTTCCGGATATCTCCGGATATACTCGGAATTTCAAAACTTTCTTAACGGAATATTGTTAGTCAGCTAAATGCGCAACTTTGCCCAATTCAACCATCTTTGTACCCCTCATAGTTTCCGAGATCCCAGTGGTGAGGATCTAATTTGAAACACCCTGTATAAGTAAGTAGAAAAGCCGTTTATGGTTTCTGTGTGTTGAATTTTTCATTGTTGAGTATTGGAAGGAACGAATTAAATGATTGTCCACTCATATCTAATTCACTACAGTGTTGCTCACAATTTTTTTTCTTCGGAAAGCATCTTGATTTGACTTTTTGTTCTTCCTGTCGATCATATACGTAGTTGAATAAACAGACGAATTGAAATGTTATTCCAAGCTTTCTGGAGGTCGTAGATTATCTCGTGGAATATCAATTAATGTCAAAGTATGGGTATCGCGGAGTGTGTATGATAGGTTAGGTTTGTTAGATTCTGCTGAAATCACGTGATAGAACAGCCACTCAAATTCTTGTATAATACTAACACAACCAAAGCTGTCGGTTTTTGTGGAGTAACTCTAATCAAATTTTGAAATTCAATTAAAGAATAATACTCCAAGAATATCCACACATACAGTCCGCTTATTAAAAAATATATTTGCCATGTCTTGCATTTCACAGTTTGTTTCATTTATTTTTTATTTAATGAACATACAAAACGGACAGATTTCATATACTACACGATTTGATCTCCACAAACTTGTGATCTCCACAAACTTGTGGAGATCAAATTTTCAACAGTTCTTGTAACACATGTAACTTTTGGTAATAAATTGTTATTATAGAAATTCCTTTTGCTCCGTATCTTCGAAACAAAGCGCCTTATCAAAAATCATCAAAGGACAAAATATCCTTAGAATAGTCGAAGGAATAGTCCTTTAAATTTTTCCGCATGATTAGTAAACACCCTGTATATATTTTTATGAAATCCGTACTCTAGTCTAGACTGAGCACTGGACATAAGTTTCCTAAATATTTGTGTTAGCAGCCTTGGAAATGAAGAGACTATTTTGTAAGTTTTGGGGAACATAGGAGCCTTTTAGTGACTGAAGCTTTGTTGATATTTTACGTAGTTCAGTTGTTGAATATTTTCAAATGAAGTTTTCAAAGTTATTGTAGTCTTGAGAGTTTCAACCAATTTTCACGAATATACAAATATGAATGTGAATGAATTCTATTCCAGATTTTACATAGTAGTGGACATAGCCAATCTGTTAGTCAAATGCCTGTTATACTAATTCCGTTACATTTCGACCGAGACCAGGCTCTGAGGATACCTTCTTGTCAAAGATCGGTGGTCCTTCGGCCATTTTGTACCCAGGATTTCATGACGGGTGTACCTGCAGTACCTGGCAAACAACTCCCCGTTGAGGTAAGTTCTGATTACATTATCGTTTCTGTGTATGTTTTACAAATTTGTTTGCAGGTTGTGAGAAAAATGGTCCAAGAAGTAGTACAAGTACCGGGTATTTCAAGAGTTCTTTATGATTTGACGTCGAAACCACCGGGTACAACAGAATGGGAATGACCTTCCATATGTTTGGTTAGACAATGTAATTTTTTAGTTCCCAGTTTTGAATTGATACATATGTACAGTTAACGTTTTTTATTATTTGGTTATTGCAATTGCCAGTTTGAATTATAAAAAGTGAAGTATGTTGAACTTTCTTTATTTAATTTTTTAATTACCTACCATTATAGATAATTACTGAATGGAAACTGGGTAAATTGTGATCGCAGTAAAAACTATATTACATGACTTGAGGTGCAGTTACGTAGGTTGAATTTTCGTTTTTTAGGGTTTTCAATGGGTGAACATGCTGTACTTTATTTATTAATAGAAGTACCAGGTCTGTTGAAAAAATGAGGTCAATTTTCTCAAAAAACATTTCCATTTATCGCCTTCAAAGTAGCCCCCCTCGAATATAATACACCGGCATTTTGTATAATCCTCGTAGCAGTTGCAATATGCACTTTTTGGTATGTCCTTGAGCTCTCTCAGCAGTTCGGTTTTCAGTTCCTCAATCGTCGCAAAACGCCGCCCTTTCATAGGTCTCTTCAATCTTGGGAACAGGAAAAAGTCGCAGGGGGGCAAATCTGGTGAATACGGTGGCTGGGGCTTGATTACGTCATTGCCAATGTAATGACAATGACGAGTGAGTAGGTGCATTATAAAAAACCTAATCAATACAGTTTATTGTATGATTTTCACTATAAAAGGGTTTTACGAAAACCGCGACACGTGTTTCGCTATACAATAGCTTCCTCAAGCATAAACTGAGAGTTACTTCTAAATTACAACCATTTTATATTCTAATCTACTACCTACTCGTCTACCTAAATAATGAATCTACCTGAAAAGGTCAGGTATAAATTCATTTACAATATCAATACATTTTTTCCAAAGTATACCTACCTGAAAATATGCCTAACTGTTTTTACCTGCAAATGAACAGATTCAATAATGGCGAATTATTCAATTCACTTTGACCGTTCATATAAGATATTGAGAGTTTTTGAATTTATTTATTTCCATAGTCTCCAACAGGTTAAGTTTCTAGAAATGGAGGGGTTTGTATTCATGGTTGAACTCATGTCCCTCTGAGATTGAATGACTGGCATATGTGGAATTTATTGTTCCATTCTGAAAACTATATTTGTGTTCCTTTATGCGGGCTTTTACCATTCTTCCAGTTTGACCTATATAAAACATCGGACATGACCCAGACCGTAATTTATACACTCCTGATTTTTCCGAAACTGAACTTTTATCTTTGTTATTCTTAATGTGCATGCCTAGGTTGTTGTTGGTGTTGAAAGGAGTATTTACACCTTTCCTGTGCAGAACTAGATTAAGGTTCTATAACTTTTTCCTCTTCTCTTAGAATTGGGTAAACATCTTTCAAAGCTTGACCGCATAACTTTTTTGATAATAAAGAATGTATTAGACTGAATTGAAAAGGTTAAATTTTTAGTAGTGATTAATTTTTGGGAAAGAAAGTTTTTGGCTTTCTACTACTCCATCTTGATACAAAAAAAGGGATGAGGGAATCTTCCAAAGAAAGAAAGTAATCAATTTGAAAACAAGTAACTCTATACATGGATGTGTAGATCATGCAAAGAAGTAACTTTCAGACACAAACTGAAAGAAAGTCCTCCTGAAACAGCTACTTTCATATNACTAAAAAAAGATTATGGCTGTCAGAAATCGAACCCAGGTCCTTGGGCGCGCGAGGCCGACGCACTACCGCTGAACCATTCGTATTTACAAATATATGTGTGAAAACGCGATTCTCAACGCCCAATTTAAAATAATTTAGAAGATCATAGTTAGATATTACATTAACATAGTTTTAGATAATATATCTGATTTGGCCAACTATACTTATTAGGATCTACTTAATTTATAGATATTATTTTCCATTTATTTGATACTACCGTGAGACATTAAACTTACCTTGGTCAATAAATAATGTGAGATATTTGAGTTTCTACATTGATTTATTGTATATTAATCACATCTCTTTGACTTGCCTTATGTACTATCCATAACTGGATTTGCCAGATATTATTATTATCAGTAACATTATTATTTTCAATATGTGATGAATTCCAGGCCGACAAAGATTTGAACCCAGAGGATGTTGAACTGGATGAAAACTATACATTGGAGAACAGAAGCAAATGTAGGTAGAAAGAGTTGAATTGAAATTATCATATTCGTTATGAAATTCCTTTATATTTTTTTCAGCGAGTGCTCCTACTGAAGAAGATCCAGTTGATGAGTATCCAGATATTAGCGGAATCACCACAGCACGAGTGAGTTTTTAAATTGAGATATCACCTAATTCAATAGATGACTAGGCCTAAACTATGTAATATGAATAAATTTTGTAATTGATTTTGGTTCAGTTCAGTTTAAAGCATTGAGAATGTATCTAGTCTCTAGTTGGTTACATTTTTTATTAGAGATTGTTGCCCTCGCCAATTTTAATATTCAAATTATTTTTAGGAAGCAATGGGAGAAATGCTGGAAGAAGATAAACAGAAGATTCTGCAACAAGTGGAGCTCTTAAGAAGCGAAAAACTTAAATTTGACTGTGAAGTTGCCAAATGAGATGATACTGGAAATGACATCATCGTTTTGGCCAAACATATGTGTATGATCGTGATGGAGATGACTGACTTTTCACAAGGTATAACATTCAAATGTTGTTTCTAATTGTTCTCCCTACTTAAGGTGACTGAAATGGTATTGAAATAGTTTCAAAATTACCGTGAAGGTCTGGCATACTAGAGTTGATAGAAATTACATAGTTTTAAAAATATAGACGCGTGCGTCCCTCACGGTAGCGTTTTAGGGCCCTTTTTTTATTCTCTATAACTGATGTTAACTTGTGTAGAGTTTATTGAAATTTCAGGAGATGATTATTGTGCGATTTTTCAGAGGTCGCGGACCATTGAAAACGACAATGGATGTCATAAATGCAGCAAAGAAGATTTCAGAAGCTGGAACAAAACTGGATAAACTCACCAGACAGATTGCAGAGCAATGTCCGGAAAGCTCAACTAGGCAGGATTTGTTGGCTCATTTACAACACATTGCCGTTTACTGCCACCAAATTAATGTTACCTCCAAAGTAAAAGCAGATGTCCGGAATATAAGTGGAGAGTTGAGTCTCTGGTGTAAGTATATCTTATGATATGTTATGGAAGATACTTGATGAAAATCCATATTGCCCAAAACTTGATATTGGCCAAACAGGGAGATCTTTTTCTCAAAGAATAAAAGAACATATGAGTAGTTTCTTGAATATGAAGACCAATTTCAGATTTGCAAATCATCTCTTGGCAGATGGGCATTAGTTCAACCACAACATTTCCTTCACCAAATTGGCATCATCAGTGTATGAATGTTTATAAAACAAATTGATATTCATTTCTCGAATTGAATTGGTGAATATTACTAGAGTTTTATCCCAACACCAAACCATTTTTTTAACGCCTCGACAGGTGTTCAGATCACCAAGTGATCAGGGTGATATCAGGAACGTATCACTGGCTATCAGACCATTACATCGAGACCAATATGCATACAGATCAGGTGTGAAAAAGAAGGGCTTTACAACATGAACCCATCCAAATAGACCATAGTAGCATTCACCAAGAGGACTAAAACGAAGGGTCTCGGACCTCTAAAACTTCGAGGTGAAGAAATACAAGTGTCGGGGGAGGTTAAATATCTGGGAGTAATCCTAGATTCCAAACTGTCCTGGAACCAACACTTAGACAGGATAAAGAGGAAGACGAAGGTAGCACTGATGCTCGCCAGACGTGCCTGTGAAAAAACATGGGGGCTACAACCAGACATAGTTAAACCCATGATAACATATGCATCTCTGGTCTGGTGGCCAAAGATGAAGCAGGCGACCGCCGTCAACAAACTAGGCAAGGTGCAAAGACTTTCATATTTGGGAATTACAGGAGCAATGGGAACTACCCCAACAGCTGCATTGGAGACGCTCCTGAATCTACCTCCTTTACACTTTGTGATAATGGGGGAGGCCAGGATAGGCCAATTCAGACTGGAGAACTCACCGAACTACAAAAGATCGGAGCGAACAGAAATTTCGGGACGAGTGGAGGAGCACATATTGAATATATGCAAGGACCGCACGACACCGAAGTACACCTTTAACACAAACTTCACGGCCAAAATCGTAAGCCGTGACGAATGAAAGATAGATAGATAGATAGATAGATAGATAGGTATATTTTCACCACATTACATATATAAATACATTTATGGCATGTCAATATATTAATAGATACAATATAAAGTACCCAATGAATAAAATTATACAATAAAACATATGATATTTTGAAAGTGTTGCAAACATAATCAAGTGAGGCATAAATAAATAGCGTAAACAGAATGGAACATTTCAGAGAAGCAATGTGTTGAGTGCATGACTCAGTTGCTTTGTTGTGACGAGAAATTCGTCTGTGGAATAAAAGCAGTGTTCAAGAATTTTTTTGGTGCTTTTTTTGAACTGATCAAAAGATAGTGATTTGATTCTCTCCGGCAAGCAGTTATATAGATTGATATTCAGAGAGTTATGTTGAGATTTGGTTAATCTATACCTTGGAGTTTTTAATAACTTAGCATACCTAGTAATATGGTCATGTATATCTGACTGGGTTTGTAACTGGTTGATATTTCTGTGTATTTCTAATAAGGAATTGTAGATATATAATGAAGGTAAAGGCATGATGCCAAACTTTATAAAGTGTGGGTGACAATGTTCTCTATATCCAACTCCAGCTAAAATTCTTACTGCTTTTTTATTGTTGTCGAAAGATAGTTATTACACGGGTGGCATTTCCCCATAAAATTATTCCATAGTTTATCTGCGAATGAAACAGAGAGAAATACGTCATTCTCAGAGTATCAGGTTGAATTGCTTTTTTTAACTGCCTCAAGAGAAATAGAGTACTTGCTAACTTGTTACAGAGCTGTTCTATGTGATTCGAACATGTGAGTTTGTCATCAATAACAATTCCGAGTAGCTTGATAGTATTTCCCATTTGTAAGTTTATATTAGAGGAGAAGGTTATTTTTTGGGATTTGCTTGCGTTCAACTTGAGTTTGTTTGCAGTAAA